CTAAGAATATTCATACGTAATAAATGAATTCGTTTAAGCATGTTGAGGTGCGATGACGCTTGTTCTTTATAGCCTCGGAGGCTGGCTGCGCAGCTTGACTTTGTTTTTACGACACCATAACCGTCTATATTTATGGAGCGTATTTAGCATGGGCCCGATGCACTATTTCCTTCCGAAGGGTGCAATGCTTGTAAATGTTGTTGAGTGCACTCGCGATCATTGTGTTGGCTACAGACTCGCGCGCCCTTGCCGCGTGGGACGCACCTACTGGTTATCAAACACCGTATCAATAAATTGCACTTGCGTCCGCCGTGTTTTGTAAATAAAAGAATAGGAATACTGCGCGATATCGACGAAAGGTCTAAATAAATTTGAATATGTACTTATTTGTTAGTCACGTCTGTCGATATCATCATCCACGGTTCAAAATAAAGAATGTGATGGTTTATATTTCGATCGCTTATATTTACTTTAGTCTTTCATTAAGCTCATGAATAATCGATATACATCATATGTAAGGCAATAAATTGGACCGCAGAGTGGCGTGTACGAATCGTTTGTCAGGAATCTTTTAATGCTCACTTACATGTAAAACTTTTATTAATTTTTTAATCAAAAACAATCGAGTATCAAGGCTTAACAAGCAATTGGATTTTGCGTATGCAATGAGGGATGGGTATGAATTAAATCACCGGACGAAACTTATGTTAAGAATTGAAATGAACCTTTACTGAACCGGGACGTGAGACCCGCCCAGCGCTCTCCCGCGAAAAATAAAACATATGCAGGTGGCTGATTCAATAGCCTCCCATTAGAAGCCATTATATGCTAATAAATAATGCGAGGGAGACAGTTGGGCTATTCGTACGTAGATGGTGCCGTAACTCACAGCGATGTAACGATCCCCATAATAGAAGTAATAGGAACAGAAAATCCGCATAGAAAGCTAGTTAATTGTATTAACACACCAATATTACTTAAAAGAATTGAAACTTTCAAGTTTCTTACTTGAAATATGGATGTATCGCCATCAGAGTTTGTGATCGCAATGTGAATAATAATTTGGGTTTGGTTTGTTTTGCTTGACACACAGACGAGGTAACTTTAGTCACTGACCACTGAGAACAAAGATTGTAGAAAAAATACCTTATTATATTATTTTCTTAACGAAATTATTTGTTGAATGGGTGCTACTTTACCTAAATATGCGTTATGCATTAGACTGTCACTTTACAGCTCTTAATGTGTTCAGAGGATTTCATTTAAAACTAAAGAAAAGTAACAAAACAAATGTCACCCAGACGATTGTAATGTGTATTGTATATTTGCCATGACGTGTTTAAGGTGCCATAACAGTGCTAAACATGTTTGCAGAAAATATAAATAATAAAATGAAACTTACCTGGTGAGCAAGATTTTAAAAATTATAGGTGTTTGTTCGAAATACTCAATAAGGTAACACATCAATAGTAGAGAAACTCATCTGTTATTGCCAGTACAAACCATAATATTTTCAGTACGTAATCATTAGACCACCTACTCCGAATATTATGCGTGTATTTTCAGATCTGTTTATCTACCTATTGTAACCTCTTCAAACGACTGAACGATTTTCAAGTGGGGCTTCTCTTCATTTGTATGAATTATAAATATCAAATATTTTAATGATGTATATATTTTTTGTACTTTTATCTTTCTATTTGAGGCTAGATAAAAATATTTTGTAAATTTTCTAATAAATGTGTATATATAGAGTGATGTACTTTTAGTGTTGTAGTATTTTTCAAAATCGTGAAGGATCTTGGTTTGGTTTCTATTTTGACGAGCCGCTAGTCCGATGTCAATCCTCCTTGGGAATGTGATCCTGCTCAGAAGCAAACTAAGGAAGTCACTGGAGAACGTAAAACAGATTGTTCAAGGGAGCTAGTTTCAGAGAGATTAGCAGCATCGGACCTAATATTAATACACTTTGGACTCTTGAACACTTACATACAAATAAGTAAATAACACCCCCGAGATCGGTACGCTACAGTGCCTACGTACTTATCTTACTAGGTATAGAAAGGCCACTGCTTTAGACATCATCCAGTACCCAATTACAACTATGTATGTGTTTTTATTAACATCAATGTAGTAATTGGAAATGAGCATTGCCCATTAGGCAGGATAGTTCTGTTCCTAGGGAAGACTACAACAGTTACAAAAACAAACATGATAAGATTGTTTGCCTTCTAAAATACCTCATTCCTACTACTACTCGGATTGATGCCTCTACTCCTACTAAAATGCCCTTATACTTTCTCAAATCAGTATAGATCATTTCATCATATTCCATTTAGTACCTAATCATATGAATCATAAAGCACCTTATCATTTAATTATTAATACCCTGAAATATTGATGAACGCATCTTAAAATAATGATCAAGTACTAAGTAGTGGAAAGGTGATGCCGTCGACGAAATAATAATTGTCTCTTATGGTTATGATGGACGCAAAGACAGGCCGTTTTAACGAGGACGAGATTATTATATCGTGATTGGTGCGTTAATATTATATTTCCTTAAGTTGTTATGGTGCGGTCGGTCCAGCGACGATGGAAGGGTCGAGGTGGTCAATTTCCAATAATACGGTCATTATCGTGGCCGGTGACAATGTTCCGTAACAACACGCGTGGCTCATACATGATTATAAAGGTATTTAAGATTATTATTATAGATGCCCAAAATTGCTCATCCATATGGTATGGATGGCCTATGATATTGTCCGTGTGGTGACGGATGAAGAATACGGAGCGTCACCACCGTGGATGTCGTAAGAGCCGACTAAGGGAGCAAACTACGTAGAACAACAGCTCTGCAAAGAGAAGGAAAACCTAAGACAAACCCTACTTCTAATACCCACTTCTTCTGGCCAGCGTGGTATAGTAGGCCAAAACATATTTTCTAAGGAGAGGCCTATGTAAAGCAGTGGACTATTAAAGGCTGTGAATGATGATGATGATGAATTTTCATATAAACTTTTCTGGCACAATGACATGTCCGAAAACTCTATTGTATTACTCATTATATACCTCCTATAGTTATTCGTCATAAGAAAACCTTGAGTTTCTTCGAGGAGGTCATCGTGTGCAGCCTGGATACGGATGCTAATTGATATACTGCTGACCCACTTACGGATCACGTCTTTCTAACTGTACAAAACAGTACATTTTAATTGTCAAAGGGAGTATCAAATGTACCTATACAAACTAAGTTTATGTGACTTATAATAATAATAATACATTTATTCCAGATAATTGTGTACAACAGTCTGAGACCCAATCTTTCGAACTAGGTGAAACACCTGTATTACATATATTTACATTTGAGAATAAACTTAGGTGGCAAAAACTAGTATAATAAATTAATTGCAAATGGTATAATTTTTTTTTAAACACGTGTATGTGTGCGCGTGTGCACATTTGTGTTTGTGTTTGTGTGTGTGTGGAGGGGGGGGGGGGGATAAGTGTTTGTGCTTGAAGGTGTGTGAGGGTATGTATGGGTGTTTATGCGTGTGGATATGACATGACAAAATATTAATGTTAGGGATTTGATTTTATTGTTTTGGGATTAATTGGGGTTTCCACTTATGTAATCATCATCATCATCATCATCCGAGCGTTAATCCCGGATGCAACCGGTGACGCCCGGGGTCCGCTTTCCGACTTATTCTCTTCTACTTCGCACGGTTTTCGGCATCCCGCGTTGTGAGACCATGTCATCCCTTCCCCTCCTACTGGGGCTCGGCGGAGGCAGACATTGCCAGACATTTGTTTCCTAAGTAGCTAAGCGGTTGCCGCAAGGTCATGGACACGAAGGCTACCACGGATGCAGGAGTTCCTCACACGGTCCTTCCGCGTGACTCCACACATCCACCGCAACATATTCGTCTCCGTGATATGCAGCTCCTGCTTGTATCGCATCAATAACGGCCACGCCTCGCAGCCATGTAAAAGGACAGACCTAATGATGGTTCTATAGAACTGTCCCTTCACCCTTACGGGCATTTTGGGATCACAAAGGACACCAGTCATCGTATGCCATTTAGCCCACTCGGCAACAATGCGTGCCTTGACGTCGCAATCGATGTCACCGGAGGCATGAAATACAGTTCCCAGGTATTTAACCTGGTCCATGCGAACGGATGTGGGATCCAACCATGGCGGCTGCTCATGTGGGTATTCGATGCTGTCTGACAAGACGTCTAAAATAACGCTGAACGGAAAAGGACTGTGGACGGATCCTTAGTGAACCCCGACGATGATGGGGAAGGGTTTCGTGTCGCCAACAGCAGTCCAAACCACAGAATCAGAATCACGGTACATGTCCCGGATTTTGTCAATATAAGTCTCTAGATGGTGGGCACTACGGTCCTAATGGGTGGACCGTCATCTGGACGAGGAACACAGTCGAAGGCTTTCTGCATGTCCAAGAATAAGTAGTGCATTTCTCTTAGGGCAAAAACTGGGTCCATGGTACCGTGACCTGGGCGAAACCCATATCGACACTCCGAGACAGTGCACTCTTGCCGGATTCGGGAGTCAATTATCCTTTCAAGGTTTTTCATGGCGTACCGTTTTAATTGCCGAACTCCTCCACCGACCCTTTGCCTTTGAAGACTGGAGTCATAATACTCAGCCTCCATTGGCTTGAGATCTGCCCGGTAAAGAGTACGCGGTTAAAAAGATTAAATAAGTGCTCTCCGATTTATCGAGCGGCGAAGAGCAGTCTGGACCTCTGCAGGCGTTACCGGGGGCACTAGTCCTTGGTTTGGAGGAAAGTCCGGTGGCTGCACCTCTTTATGGTGCTTGTTCAACAGCTCGTTAAAGTATGAGCGCCATCTCTCCCTCACCGTGAGGTTCTCGCATAACAGGTCACCCCCAAGATCTTTCACACAGCGACACTTGAAAATATCCTGTGCTGCTTTAATCCTGGAGCGAGCCAACTTATAGATTAGCTTCTACCCCTCAGAGGACTCCAACTTCTCATAGAGAGGATGGAAGTGGTCACTTCTGGCTCTGGCTACTGCTCTTTTTGTGGCACGCTTTGCAGCTATGTATGCGTCGTGGTCTTCGGGAGATCCAGACGCTTGCCACTTCTTAGAAAGGGTTTTCTTCACCCTAGTCTTCGTTTGGACTGTGTTGTTCCACCACCAAGTTTCCTTGTCACACTTGCGTCTACCCATAGACACGCCAAGCACCACCTTCGCCGCTGTAGTATGACCTTGCAGTTGGCCACTTTGCTGATATGGTGTCTCCTAATGAGTAGGAAATAAATTTGGGTAGCACGACCCCCGCTCCTCAAGGTGATGAGATGTTCGGATTTCTTATGAAAGTACGTGTTCAAGATGGCGAGATCAGCAGCCGCACACGTTCTGAGGATGTCACCACCCTCCGTATTGCGAGTCCCGTATCCAAACCCAACATGAACATGCTCAAACTCCTCACACCCTCTACCCACGTGACCATTCAGGTCGCCACCCAAAACGACTCCCTGCGACAACGGAATGGCTCGAAGCACATCCCCTAGTCGATTCCAGAACAATACTCTTTTGGCATCGCCACAAGCCTGTGGCGCATAAGTCTTTCTTTAGCCGTGCCCTCCCTGGACACGGCAGCCCTAGCCCACTTGCCTCAGGAGTCGGGCGAGGCTCCTGCGCGCCGTTTTTCGGCCTTATCCGTGGCATTTCTTTCTACTTTTCATTTTATGATTTTGGCAGAACTTTTGTAGGGAGCGACTGCCGTCTGACCTCCCACTCCCGAGGGGGAAAGCGTGCGCCAGAGCCTCGTCTGTTGTTCAGCAGGTGTACGAACTGGCACGTAAGGTTGGCATGGGCCCCAAAAGAATTTGGTAGGACCACTTACGGAAGTAAGTTTCCAGTGTCTTGGTACTGTAGTGTATGAAGCCACTTCATTAGTGCTATTTTACATTCGCTTCGGATCAATGGATAGAAGCTCAGAGATATTTAGAAGGTTTGCGCTGAGTATTATGGAGTAATAATTTTACAGAGCTATAGAATAGAAGGAGTTTTTTACTTAAATTTTTTTTGCGTGTGTTGTGCTTGGTTATTTGCAAGTTTATTTAACTTTGAAATCAATTGTAATTTGCTTACCCCTTTTTTTGCCAAAAAAATAGAGGTTATAGAGGCATAAGGAACTGAAAACTCTTATTCTTAATATTTTTTTGTGTAAGTTATATTTTGAGTAGTTAAAAATAAAAAGAAACTGCGGCAATAGATATTTTTATGATATGAGGAGCAAACGATCAGAGGAGTCACCTAATATAAAGTGACTACCGTACCTCATGTGCACCTGCAACTCAGGAGTCACAAGCGCGTTGCCAGGATGTTTTATATGTAGAATATTTCTGGTTAGGTTGACGATCGATAAAGCAAACGCGATATTATTTTTTTTACTTTTAGTAACAAATGACTAGTGAAAGCAAGCGAATATTAAAAACTTTATTCAAAACTATAATATTATTTAGTTTGGATAGGAGCCAGTAGTTGTAGTCGTTTGAGTATTTTTAGGTAATAATCAGCTCATTACTTTGATTGCAGTAATATCTCAGTATTCGGTTAGTACCTATTAAACAATTATTATTTCTCTTTCTATTTAGTTTAGTGTTATTTAACTATTATTTTTAGAGTAACATTGCAATGTACGGATGACTGCGCGGATAGAGTAGTGGTTTAAGTTGTCGCCATGCCGCTTCCCACAACGCCGAGTGTTGTGGATTCGATGCCCACATGGGACGACACTTTGTGTGACCACGAATTGTTGTTCTGAGTCTGGGTTTTATTTGTGTTCCTTTTATGTATGTTTGTAAGGTGCCCGCGACACAGGATTTATTAATGTGAGTTATCTTTTATAAAAAAGAAAAATGTGTTTTAATAGATTTAGAATAGAATATTCTTGAATGTACACCATTGACAATATGTTAGATAAATATTACAGACGAATATGTACAATGGGCGGCCTTATCGTTATAAGCAATCTCTTACAAACAACCTTTGGCTGGACCTACACTGTGAGTGACTTATCATAGAATATAATAGTGGAGCTAGATTTAAGATTATTGCCACTTTTTTGACCGTGATGTTTAATTTTTACTTTACTAAGGAGGATCACGTATATTTTGTCTTTTACAATTATGAAATAGAGAATAATAAATCAAGAATCTTCACATCTGTACACTACTAGTCAAGAAGTCGCAACTTCACAATTGTAGTAAATCTAGTAGCAAAGCTTAAATATAAATACTTTGTAATTTTTGTCAATATGCCTTAAAAACAAGTTTTTGGACCTACCGATAATATGACATGTTGCCTTTGGACAAATTCCAGTCCTGGCTTTGTTTTCGATACGCAAATATCGCGCAACTCGGCATAGCGATATTTTTTAATGGAGCTCAGTGCCCGGCGAGAGTAATACGCGAGTGCGAATGTTTTCAGAGATTTATGCACGTTTGCTCGTAGCTCCGGCTCGCCTGCCCCACCTGCATCGCATTTCTAGTTTATTCACTGTTCTGTGCATGATCCCAATTAGTTACATTTCTCGGCTATGTCATAATGTTTCCATATAAATTGTATAGGCAGACCAACAATACCTAGTTTAACATAAAAAAACATATCCACTCAAATTTAATGACGCAAATATTATTTCTAGATTTATTATATTTATTTATTCACATATAAGTACATATATGCTGGTCATATATTGATTAACATCTATCAAGTCTTTTTTATTTTCTTCTCTAGCAAATTAAACAATTGAACTTAGATCCCTTTATGGAAATGAAAAGAACAAACCGCTTATCTAAATAAAATATTTCATCCAAAGCGTGAGAGATTTCCAAGTGCCTTCGAGATACACAAATTATATGATACCTACAAATAGGTATTATAAAAAGTTTAATTAACAGGATTACGATAAAGACATTGTTTTATCAATGCAAATATATAAATAATATGTTTATTTGTTCATTGCCTCTAGTGAACTCACTTGTTTGGATGTACGTATCGGGTATAGCGGACGTTTCTTGATGGATGAGTGGAGCAGGCGGCAGTGTCGTCTGGCTGTCGCAACACAATGCGGCCATGTCCGCTAGATTGATTAGCTCTCAGAGCGAACCGACACACATCGGCAGGTCAAACGCAGCATTTTAATGCAATAAAAACATAGCACAGCATTGGAACCTCCTTATTTTAAGCGATATTACTGTGTATAAAATCTCTCAAGTTCAGTTGTCACTCGTGCTAACCTTTTTTTTTTTTCCGCATGTCGGACACGAACCGACTAAAACCGCACGCCGTCTCGGGTACCAGGTATACCCTAGAAAGAAAGTCCCAGGTGCAACTCGTGCTAACCCTAAAGTAAACTAACTAAGTAAGTAACTACACCAGGTATACAGGGTTACGGAGTAACTCGACTCAAATACTTTAAGGGGTTGTAGTTGCCATAATTAGATTTCACTATGTACTACTATATCCCAAAAATAAAAATATCAAGAAATTGGACTTTTAAGATTTTTTATAAAAATTGACGAAATTTTGCCCAATACTTTTTTATAATCAATTCATATCTTAATTAAACTTAAAATTGTAGTATTTTGTAAGTTTTAATTGTAGTTAAAAAAAAACTGACAATTATAACAAAATAATCTATGACAGTGAAAGTGCAGATTTGTTGGCAATAACCGTAACAAATAATAATATCAGCAGTAGCACAAATCAAAGTTCACTTACCAATAGTCAGTCGGGAATAGAAAAGGAAACAGTCCAAAAATACAAGTCAAGTTTTCAACTAGATACTACCGGGTTGTACGCTAATTCTTAACACCCCCGGCCTTTCTTCTAAGATGTTTTAAGAATTCTGATATTATCCTAGACTATTATACCTTATTAGATAGCTGAGAATACGTACATGTTTTTTAAAACATCTGCAGTTTCACTATCATATATTTTTATATACTACTTGTCAAAGAAAAAAAAATTTTTTTCCCATTATTAACCATCCACTTCGGTCCAGGGGCCTTACTCTTGAATTCGATTCCGATCGATCGACATTGGAATTGTGAAGTTTCGTACTCTTGAATTCGACACTAGCGCCAAATTGAAATCAAATTGGGTGACGATTTGGAGAACTAACTGAAATCGAAATTACCAATCGCCACACGCAAACGGTACTCTTGAATTTTTTGACAGCTTGTTTGACAGCGATAAATTGAGTTCGTATCGTTTGGAGATTGGGATTTACTCAATAGCCGAAGTGTAACTTTTTTGAAATTGTTTCACGTTTAATGTGGTTTTAACTGAACTATAAGTGGATAATATGGCTCGTTTAGTAGTAATGTACAATATTTTACGTAAAACTAAAAAAAATGTGTTAAAACTGAGACGAAATGAGCGTCGAATGATGCGATATACGGAGAAGGCGTTCTCTATAAGTGAGGAAGAATTTAAAGCCAATTACCGAGTGAGCAAATATTTATTTGAGGAAATTTCTGAAAATATAAAACCTTTTATGCCAACTCCTAAGAGAAGAAGTGATAAACCACCGAAATATAAGGTATGTTAACATTACAACTTGTAAGGTGTACATACTTATTTTTTTGTGAGAAGATTAACTTAATATTTTCATCCAAATTGTAGATTCTAGCGGCACTATCGTTTTTTGCGACTGGAAGTTACCAAAGGCTGGTTGGAGGCACATATGGCACTCTGATGTCGCAGCAATCTGTATCTCGTGCTATCAAAGAGGTTACAGCAGCTCTCAATCACCATTATGTTCAAAAACAATGGATGGTTTCCTCAAACCCACCAAGAAAGAGATGCTATTAAAGCAAGGTACTGTAAAAGTTCTACTTATCTAGAATACTGTAGAATATTGCTAAAAGTAGCCTAAAATATAGTATATGGAAGTAATTTTTGTTGAGACACCTTAGTTTTACCCTTAGTTTTACCAAGCATGTAAATGTAGTGTAGTACTCCCTAAGTGTCTATTGTATGTATTAGGCTTATAACTATAATAAAAGTATTTTGAATTTGTATGTAATAGCTTTACTATAATAATATTAAACAATACTTCGTTTCAGGTTTTATGAAAAAGACCGGATCCCATCAGTATTAGGATGTATTGATGGCTCTCATGTGCCCATAATTAAACCAACAATTAGGGAACGTGAGGAAAGATTTTTTTATTTGCAAACATTTCCACTCTAGAAATGTTATGATTGTAAACACTTATTTTGTTGAAATTTTTATCAACTAAATAACAATTTAGAGTATAATTTAGTTCTACCTTTTTATTTATATTTACAGATATGTGATGCAGATTTAAAATACTGTCAGTTGATGCATCTATTGGAGGAGCATCTCATGATAGTTTTGTTGGAATCAAAGTTCTGTGAAACAACATTTAATTGATGTTTTTTACTAGGTTAATATTATTATGAATAAAGTCAACTATTATGCATTCTTATTTTTTAAAACTATGTAATGATTAACATTTTTTAATTCTAACAACTTGTGTTAAGATTTTAGTTTTTAAGGCAAATTTTATATGATGTTCTTTTATAATTTTATACTGCATTTATACTGCTATTTCTAATGAGATTTTATGTATTAATTTAATATATGTCAATATAAATGTCTTGGCCTATAATGGTTTAATTTTATTTAAAGTA